ACGTACCGAGAGCTAGCTTTTGTAGCCAAGTATCAGACCGATAAGGTCAATGCACCCTGCCCCTTTGGCTCCTCCCATGAGCTGGGCTCCATGGGTAAAAGCCCTGCCACCAAGCGCTTGCCAACGCACCCCAACTCCAGGCCTGGCTCTGGGGGGGGGGGGGGGGGGGGGGCCGAAAGACCCGTGTCCGCGCGAGGGAACACAGTTTGAATTTATGTTCTCAAACCTAAACAGACAGCAGTGTGACACTAAAGATGTTGCAGCAAGGAGAGGTAGATGATACTGTCCCCAAAAAATGGTTACAGTAGTTCACCAGTGTGACAATATTTTCATTCTTACAAGTCTAACAAAAAAAAACCAACAACAGTGGTTTTAAAAATAAGACAATCGATAAAAAACAAGTCTGGTAATGCTACCAACTTGTGTTATCATAAAATTATTAAATAAAATAGCCAGCGCTGCACTTAAAATATCAGGGTTTTTCCTGCGTTCAAATTTGCATGGCGGCCACCTCCAGCTATTTTTGTGCTGCCCCAGCATGATTTCACTCTGCCCACAGCTATATGGATGTTATTTTAACTGCAGTTGCAGCACTCCACCACTGTGCCACACTGCTGTATCAGCAGCGGTGCACCGAAAAACGCTAAAACTGCTGCAGAAAAGAAGATCAAAAATTGCTTTTCTCACTAGTTGGTACATATCTATGGTTGGTGCTATTGTAGGCTGACCATACGTCCTCTTTCCCCCGGACATGTCCACTTTTGACTCTCTGTTCGGGGCGCCAGGGGGGGGAAGTTTCCTACATTGATCAAAACGTCCGGTTTTTCATCCAGGAGCAGGGAGCGAGTTATGGGGGGCTAGATATCTTTCAGGGACAGATCCAGTTTCTACCTATATTACAATATTTATGGACTCTCAGCGTAGCGGGATTCTGTTGAGTGGAGTGGACGCAGAGCACTGATCGCTGGTGCGCCCGCTGCGTCCGGCACACGATACATTCTCAAGGTGGCACAACAAAACATTATTAACACATGATCATTCATATCTGTTTAAATCCTCTGGTACTCTGTCTTTTAATCGTTCCTGACACGCTCGCTCATCGTGTGCTGAGGTGATTTCACCTCACTGACGCAGCATCGAAACGCGCACTCCGCTTTGCGGTCAGGAGATCCCTTTGATCTGCGTAGTTCAAAAGTAACTGATGAGGTGAAAAAGTAAGAATCCAGGCAGCAGTTTTTCTGGAGAGTTTAGAGGAGATGCAGGAAGATGAGAGAGAGACAGGACAATAGTCACATAAAAACAAGAAAACAAAGCTTGAAAGTAAAATGTAGATAGATTTATCTCCACTACACATTTTTACCTGTATTAAACAATAAGTTATATACATGTCATATTTATACATCTGATTCAATTCAGATCACCTTCAAAACTCAGTCACACACCCAGGGCCGTTTCAAGGCATTTTGGGGGCCAAGGCAAAACAGAACACCCCCCTAACCCATACATAATAGACATGCCACCATTACATTGTTAGCAGCAGAAATTAAATATTACCATTTCCAATACAAATGCGTGTTAATGAAATGCATTATATTTTACTGGATATATTTATGTTATTTTGGCTAAGACGAGTGTTATTAATACAAACCTAAAATGTTACTGAAATGTAGGTAAAATATTTAAAAATATTTTTAACTATAAATATCAGATGGGGAACAAGGAACTAAACACCAATCTAATGCATATTAGTGAGCCTTTTATAAAAAAGTGAGGGAGTGAGTATGCATGTGCTGGTGCATGGTCAGGATGGTACCACCTCTGCCTCAATTTGAGCCAGGAAAAATCCTGAATATATTTTCTACATTTTCATATAGTTTTTAATAATTATTGATATTGATGAATATGGTTTTTTTTTAATCAAAAAGCTTTTTTCTATATCGTCCAGCCCTAACCGCAGTTACTGCTTTTTTACAAACACGTACTATTAGGGCTGCATAATTTATCACAAATGTATTGTCATTGCGATATCAGCATGCGCAATACGCATATCACAAAGAACAGAAAAAAATCGAAATGAATGGTCAGCTAAAATGTTTGCTACACATAATGCATTTTGTCAAACGAAAGCATGAAGTTTTGACTAATCAAATAACGTTCTCCACCCATTTGTCCAATCAGGTGGGTTCTCAGGGGTTAGATGCCCGTCCCCGAGGCAGACGGCACTTAATATGGATGGTTAGCAAACACCTGAGTTAGATTTGTTCTGCTCTTTCTGCTGATTCTGCTTTTCCCGAGATCCACTGATTGCCTTTTCTTGTTCATTTTCTTTTTACCCTTTCCGCACATATATTGATTACAAATTTAGCTTTTCCCATTTTTTATTATTTTTTTTTAGTCATTTAAAAAATTTTTGTATTCCTTCGTTTTTGGTTTATTTTTTGGCACCTGAGTTAAGTTTTTATTTATTGCAAGTCATATCGTCGTCGCAATGTTAATCACTGTTATCGCGTATCGCAGGTTTTCCTAATATCGTGCAGGCCTGCGTACTACGATCACCGCTTTGACTAGAAAGTACCATGTTTCATAATAGAAGTTTCATGATTGTGTAAAGTCTAAAAAATCTAGATTTCACATTTCAATTAGACTACATATTCAGCAGGGGGAGTGTGTGTGTGTTACAATGTCAACATTATTCAGATAAGTCACACATTGATGCTGTGTTTTACTCTCATTCTGCCAGCTAACACTTGAGTTAGGTCTTCAGAAGAGTGCATATCGCTTGAAAGGAAATAAAAACTAAGTTATTTTGCAAAGCACAAGATCATGTGTCATTGTTTTTGTTATCTTTTAAATCTGAAATCAAAACTTAAATGAAATATTCATAAATTTCCCCAAACCTATGAAATAAAAAAAATATCTAATATGGATTATATTTGCTGCAATTTTGTTTTTACATATTTATTTGTGGATAAGATGTATTTTGTTTTCTTATCATTAAGAAAGATTCAGTTTACATAAACATTTCTAATCCTGCTCCTCTTACCATCATGAGAAGCAAGAGAAATGGAAAAGCAGAGAAGCTCTTTTGGATCTCAGCTGAGGATCAATTGATCCCTCGGTTGTATTAAGAAGAAGAAATGTGATGCTTTGCATTCTAAAACTCAATCTGCAGCTACTGCTTTGCTTTAATCAGAAACAAGAAACAGGTGAAGGCAGATTCAGGACAGTATTCACATCACTTTTTTTTCCATTGCTATCCTGTATTTGACTTAATCTCATAAAAAAGTCTTATGGCCTTGTCTGAGTTAATCTGATCACACAAAACCTCATCAAACGGGAGCTCAGGATATAAGCGAGGAGGAAAACCTCAGATGTGTTTTCTGAGTGGAATATCACCTCGTTTTTCTTCTGTGGTTCTCAAGAAATTACTTAAAAAGCCAGATAATCTAGTTAGGAACGAATATTAAACATTTGGTCTTTGATTTCTCTCGGCTAAATAGAATTATCAAACGGCTGAACCCACATCAGGTCAATTCTCTAGGAAAACAGACATTCTTTATGAGTTATCTTTTTGTGTTCATTTTAAACTTGCATATACATACAAAAGGCTGAGGACATTTTTAATCTAAGATTAACTTTATTTTACACACCTCATAATTACACATGCAGAGTTGGTAACAAGTGAAAACTTAATGCAAATAAAGATGGCAGAAGGAGGGCAAAACACACGACCCATGTCAAAATATGGTCTGGGCTCCCGTAGCAGCACTTCTCTCCTTTTACAGCGCTAACCATGTTTTTTTCATGTGATTGGTCGATAAAGTAGATTAAGTTAGTCAGTGGGTGTATACCCGTGTTTAAACTCAAGTCAAAATGTAACAAAAATCATTTTTGTCATTGCCATTCAAAACTGGCCCTAATTTATTTTATGGAAGTCTACTTTTGGTCTCATAATTTGTACTCTTACTGAACAACACAACTTTGCCACCTGTAGATGCAAATCTGTAACTTGGTGGTTTCAGACCAAGCCATGTTACTGGCTGAGAATTTTAGAGAACTGCGAGAGAACCACTTCATGAGATGTTTTTTATGTTTAATCTCCAACACATGTATAGACGTATTAACGTTAAAAAGCATGACAAAAATGTTTTAAGCTAGTTTGCTTTACAGATTTGCCATTGTAGCTTTAATGTGGGTGGATGCCTTTTGGCTCCAATCAGTGACATCACTCACTCTCAAAACGGTGGTGATTTGCTGACAGCTTAGCGTTTTAGTTTTGTATAGAGACCCCACAGCTGAGAGGGCCGAGCTTTTGTGTTCTACCCGTCACCTTTCCCCCTCCCAGAAATATCCCACAACTCATCTTGCAGAGTTAGTGTTTACATCTCTTGTTGCTGTTATTTTAATAAGCCACATTTCAGTGATTTGTGATTTTTGTTGGAGGGGTTGCTTGAAGCAGTGTAAGCAGTCACTTTAAATAATCCTTATTATCATTTTCTTTCTGCAAATACTGTTAAAATTCATTTCTCATCTGACTTTTTGCTCTTTAAAATTGAGTCTGCCTGCTCCAGCTTCTCCCCCACCTGTTACAGCCTGTCTCTGGTTCTTCCTAAGAGCCGTGATCTGACATCAGCAACAGCGGTTATCAGGAGTAGCTGTTTCTAACAAAGCATTTGCTATGTGTGCAGAGGCAGCCCTCCGGTGTGGTTTATCATACAGATGGACAGTCCTTTTAAAACCAGTCTCTAAAACAAGAGCCACTGACATGATGCTGCAGCAGAACCATGAGTTTCAGGAGTCTGAAATCACTGCACATGGCTCCACATCCTCATCTGTGATGTCTCATTTGAAAGAAATCATGAGCAGCCAGAGCTAAACATTTAAAACATCAGCGTTCTGATAGCTTCTTCACGCTGAGCCGTTCCAGTTACACGACTGAAACATCACATGCAAACAGTTTCAGTCTCATTTAGGATGTTTACGTCTCAACAGTTCCGTACCTATGTAGGAGAGCAGCAGCAGCTGGGAGATAACGAGGGTCCGCGGAAGTGTGGAGTCCATCGCGTCGGGGCAGAACTGACCGCAGGAGGAGGGTTTATCAGCGAGCTGCGTCAAGAACAGGGGCTAACAGGTCATCGCTCCGCTCGTCCTGCCTGGCTCGGCTCGGCTCGGCTCGGTTCCGCTGGGTCTGGTGGTTTGAGAAGAGCGGGCTCGCTGGCTGGCTGCTTGGTTGGATAAATGCGGACGCGCGCACATCAGTAGGAGACGGATTGCGCACGCACCGCCCACTGCCATAATGGAAATCACCCTCCAGCCCCTTAATGAGCACAAAATCTATCATCAGGCTGGGAAAAGTGTTTTTGAGTCACAATGTTTTTAATTCAGTTATTTATCGAGTTTAACATGTTGTTTTGTTTTTCCTCACACTTTCATTTAACATGTTAATAAACATACCTGATAGTATGACGAGCCGATTACAATAACGAGTAAAAGAAAAAAATTATTTTTATATAATAATTGACTTTAAATAAAGTTATTGAAATAAATATTAAGAATCTATAGATTAGGAATCACAGCTAAATATATAATGTTAAATTTAAACATCAAAAATCTAAATATGGCATCTTTTAAATTGTGTTTAAGTCACAATGTTTTTAATTCGGCTTTATATTTAGTTTATTCAGCCGTAAACCTTTTGCATTGTTTTTTCTCATAATTTCATTTAACTTCATTGTATGAGGAGCCGATTAAAAAAATATTTTTTACCACAATTAAAGTTAGTAAAATAAATATTTAGAATCCACTTCAGACATATGAAGCTCTATCTAGATTGTAAAATTATAATGTTAAATTTAAACATTGAAATCTAAACAAAGCAGGTTTTAAGGTGTTTTTAAGCAGCAGTGGTAAGCTAAATATCTAGCAAACATGTCAATTGTGACTGAAAACAGTAGCAGAAAACCTAAATAAAATCGGGGTGAAGAGAATCGCCGCCTAACATCTCTTTACTTGTAAGTCTAGCAGTTCTTAGTTTAATTGTTTTGCAGGAAGAACCCAAACATAAATGTTCTATGGTTCAAGAGACTTTCACAATATTAAGATGTTAAATGGGGGATCTCTTCACATTTGGTTTGTGTGGTTAGGCTGACATCTAATGTCCCAGAATCCCTTTAATGATAGGATTGTGTGAGTGTGTTCATCCATGAGTCATTTAACCAACTTTTCTGTCTGGGTTCCCTGCAAATTGATTGAATTGGACTAATACAATCTTACCCTCAAAAGAACTTAGAGATGTTAAGGAGGCACTCTTCACCCTGCTTTTATTTTGGTATGCTAATCCTGTTTCAGGGTAAACTAGACTTTCATGCTATTTAAATACTCAGTTAAAAATCATCATATTTAGATTTCAAAATTTAGATTTAACCATTAAGATTAACATAATATTTTCATATTTAAATTTAAATTTACATATTTAGATTTAATTAGAAAAGGTTTGACTATACATGCATATAAAAATACTTTATTCCAACATTAAAATTAAACTACAGATTTAAATTTCATTTTAAAGTTTTACAGAAATATTGTTTATATTCACGTATAAAGATTGTACAAAACATTATAATGTATAGACGATTATGGCAAAAAAGTAGCAAAGAATTTGACATCATTTTATTGCTATTAGTGAACTGAGTATAACATAGAAGACTGCTACAATGCTAATGTAAAGAGGCAGCATATGTTTGCTTATAATCTGTGTCTTGCATAGAATCGAATCAAATCAAATAGAAATTTACTTTATTGTCATTGCGCATGTCACCAGTGCAAAGCAACAACATGCAGTTTGCATCCATCCAGAAGTGCCTAGAAAATAAACAAACTGTGTGTGTGTAAAACTCCATGATTTTACTGTTTTGTTTATGAGGGAATGGACAACCATTTGTTTTTGTCTCTGTCCATTCCCAAATTGTTTTGTCTCTGTCCATTGTGTGTGTGTGTTTATTTTTGGCTAGTTGTGAGTAATTGTGAGTGCATGTATACTCAGTCCATGACTTTTAATGTGGTCAGATATCAGAAAGCAGCATTTAGGAATGTGACAGCTGTAGGAAAGAAGCTGTTCTGGTACCTGGGGGTCTTGCCTCTCAGAGGGCAGGAGGGTGAAGAGTCCAAGTGCTGGATTATTGGGGTCTTTGATGATATTTCCCAGACCCTTTTCAGACACTGCTTCTTGTAGATGTCCTCTATGGCAGGAAGTGATGCTCCAGTGATGCACTGGGCAACTTTCACTCTCTGCAGCGCCTTTCGGACCGAGGCAGAGCAACTGCCATTGCAGACTATTCAGTTGGTCGGGATGCTCTCGATGGTGCAAAGATAGAAATTCTCCAGGATATCTGAAGACAAATGGTTCTTCCTCAAAGGCCTCAATAAAAATAGGTGCTGGTGTGCCTTCTTGACCAGTCAGTCATCCAGTTGAGATCCTGAGATATGAGGACTCCTGGAACTTGAAGCTGTTCACACACTCCACAGCTGTCCCCTTATGGGTCAGCATTCCTCCAGAATCCACAATGAGTTATTTGGTTTTTTCAGTGTTGAGCAGCAGATTGTCGGTGTCGCACCACTTGGACAGATGATCCACCACCTCCCTGTAAGTGTCATGGTTCTGCTGTCTTCTGCTGTGGTTTGTCCTTCATTGTTTGCAGGTGAGTGTGTTGGGGAGCTGCAGCTGAAGCCAATTAACTCCAGCTTGGCCAGAGGATTTAAGGAACAGCGCTCCCACACCTCAACGCCGATTGATACTCAATTGGTGGGTAGATCCTGTCCTAAATCAGAGATACCTGAAAATTAGTTTGCCTGTTCTAACCTGATCTGCATTTTTGTCTGCCCCAGTCCTGGATACTCTCCGCCTGTCTGAGGTGTGTGTTTTTTCATCTCGGCGTTGTTCAGTCCTCTGGCCTCCGCTCTCCACCGCTCACCTGCCTTCCTGGATCCATCCCTTCTCCTTCGACAACCTCCACCCTGCATCTGCCTGACTTGTCTCTCCCTCCAGCTCGTACCCTGCTCAACTCATCGGAGTCGGCCCGTTTTCCTTTCCCTTTGGATCAGCGCTCTTTATTATTCTTTGGTTTCTTCGTTTTCCTTCATAATAAAGACATTTATATCATCGCTCACCTTATCCGTGTGTGATTCTCTCATGTGGGTTAAGAGACTTCAGCCCATCATGACAGTAAGCTGGTTCACTGTTACCTTTGATGAGGCCGATCACCATGGTGTCATCTGCAAACTTAATGGTGTTGTTAGATCCATCAACATGTCTGCAGTCATGGGTGAGGAGGGAGTAAAGGAAAGGGACTCGTCACACAGCCTTATGGTATACCAGTGTCCATCTTGATGGTGGATGAGCAATGGTTATCCAGCCAGATATGTTGAAGCTAGCTGGTCAGGAGGTCCACTAACCAGTTGCACATGAGGGAGCTGAAGCCTAGGTCTGTAAGTTTCCTGATTAGTTGTGAGGAAATTACTGTGTTGAACGCTGAACTAAAGTCTATGAAGAACATTCTAGCATAGGTGTTTTTGCTGTCCAGGTGTGAGAGGACAGAGTGCAGCGGTATGGAGACTGCACCCTCTAAATCTTTCACATGAAAGTTTTAAACTCTTATCCTGCAAAACGAAGGAAATGTGTTTTGGTCAAAGATTTTCAAGGATCACTCTTGGACCGCACATGATCCATTAGCACTCTGAATGTTTTGTGAATGACTTTCATCTACCATGCTATATATTAAACTGTAGTTCAGTATTTGTTTTTAGTTCCTGTTTATTAGAAGTGGCAGCCATATTGAATCTGGTTGCCTCCAAAGGTTAAACAGCTGTAAGTGGAATGACGACTTTCTCAGAGTTTAGTTAAATGCAGCCAATGGACATTTGTCTATTTACTAACAGACAGGGATGACATCACCAGTTTATGGCTAGTTTAAGGGAAAAGTGTAGAGCAAAATGCAGATTCATGCTTGGTATATGTTGTGAGTGGCTCATCATTCACTTTTCAGCAGTATGTGATAATAAATCTTTTTCTACATTTTGAACCAAAGTCTAAAAGTTACATTAGAAAATATGGGCAACTAGCTGAAAAAGGCCACATTTAGGCCCTGTCCACACGTAGCTGGGGATCTGCCAAAACGTAGATATTTTTCTACGTTTTGGCCTGTCATCCACACGAAAACGGAGTTTTTTCACACGAAAACTGATCTTTTTATAAACTCCGGCCAAAGTGAAGATCTGCGTTTTCTCCGTTTTGGGTGTCTGCGTGTGGACGGACAAAACCGGAGTTTTAAGGTCCGCAACGTCACTTTCCGCGACAAAAAAATGCTGACATCACGTGTGCGACCTGTGTTTACACTAGCCGACAGCATGGATGCCCTCAGAGCTGCGCTCGCTTTATCAATTGTCCAAGCGCTTTTTGCTTGTTTGTTTTTGCAAGCGGAATTACTGCTCCTTGCGGAAGACCACAGACGAAGGACGAGGTTAAGAAAGGGGGAAGTACTGCCGCCTACAGGTCCGGCATGTCCTTAACAACGTATTTATCCGGGTACGTGTGGACAGAGTTTTTTTTAAACGAGGTGGTGTGGATGCAAGTTTTTGGAGGGGCGGATATTCGTTTTAAAAAAAATGGCTACGTGTGGACTAGGCCTTAGATTCATTTAGATGTCCGTCATTTGTGTTCATTTTGTGTTTTTGCCCTTTTATTTGAAACAGATGCTTGCAAAAAGTAGGATTTGTCAAAGTCCCTTTTAGGAACAAAAAGGGACAAAAGGACTTTAGATCACTTGAAAAATTTTGTTTGAGAACTGAGTTTCACAATGTAAAAAAACCAAAGGTAGAGCTGTTGCTGAGTTGGGCTTGTAGCAATTTAACATCTACAAAACATTTCCTGGCACACAATACGTGCTCTGTTTGAACATAACGAGTACTTCGTATCATGAGCTCATTTAAAAGGTGTTATTCTGACAAATGTTCTTATATAAATGAGGACACTGAAATATCCAAGTTGTAACAGCATCACAGAATGAGTCAGGAACGGGAGCCAGGTCTGTCCAAATGACAGAATCAGTGTGTTGTTGTTGTGATGGTGGTGAGATTTGGCAGCAGCCACACACCAGGATTCCCATGAAGTTACCCAACGTATCACATTGTGTGTGTGTGTGTGTGTGTGTGTGTGTGTGTGTGTGTGTGTGTGCGTGCGTGCGTGCGTGCGTGCGTGCG